TTTTTATCATATCTGTGTATGTTATTTAATCCAACACTTAATTCCAAACTGAAAATACTTGAGTAGAAGGTCTTAAGTACAGCAATGACACTGGACATTTTCCCTACTTCCAGATTACACAATACCATTGCATTCAGAATTCACATGTGAAGCAAGACTATTAGGCACCAATTTCCTTTTTTGTTTGGGATGCAGCGCAATAACTATTAGAGCAATTCCCTAACCATTCATTGCTTCCAGTACCTGGAAAGTCATGGGTATCCAGTATAACTAATGTTTGAAGTGCAGTGGTTTTAGAGAACAACTTAAAGCTGAAGTAATGTGACACATGTTTAATTCTACATGCCCCCAAACTCAGAGCCCAAAAGACCAGCTGCACAGTTAGCAAGTTAGTTTTTGTTTAGCAGTTTGGGAAAGGAAGCCCAATCATCCTTCATACCTTGTGAATACTTCTCTCACTGCACTTCATTTCACAAAGACTTTCTCTGATCTCCTTCAAAGTGTCTTCTCCATAGCAAAAAACGGTGTTAGAACAGCATGACTTAGTTTAAGCTTTCCTCATGGGCAAGGTGAAGGAGAGTCAAGACTAAGCCTCTAACTTGCCACTTTTTTCCCAATGGTCAGTCGATCCCCGTGTATTAGAACTGAAATATCTAGTAAAGGACTAAAACACGTAGATGGGAATGAGATTCATGAGCACCTCCTCTTTCTGTAAACTGGTTTTAAATGGGCTGTGGGCTCTGGTTTGGGCATCCTTGTGTGCTGCATACCCCCACGATCAATTTCAAACTCTTCTCAGAAAGCTTGTATAACTATATGGTGGCCTTTGTTCTGGGTGGTGTTTTCTCTCTTGCCCACCTGACACGCTGCTTGAAAGAAATATTTTTTTTAAAAGTTATACCTTTAAACATTGTATTTGTTTGTTGACAAATTCAGATGCAAGTACTTTGAAAATACAAACTTCCTTGAGGATTTAAAATCAAAATATTTTAAAGTATGTACTGACTGTTGTGGAATATGTGCAATATTTTACAGTTGTCTCATTCTGTGAATATTCATTTTAAGAAACCTTGTTGAAATGGGACATTTGGAAACGATACTGTCATATGCCAGAGAAGAGGAGATCTGTTTGAATACTGAACCATCCTCTGCACTGATGATCCCAAATTCCTGGATTTCTTCCACGACTAGCTTTTTGCATCACAAATGGATTCTGTCTTGGATGCAGTCTCACTAATGGAAAATGGACAGGTTCCTAAAACTTTCCAGTGGAAATGGGTACACGCTGAAGTGGATTGCATTTCTCCAGAGAACTCCAGCAGGATCGGCAACTTTGAACACTAGCTTTCAGTTTGCATGCTTCTCTGCACTCTGGGATTGAGCCTAGATTTCTATTACTGAGTTCTTTACAGATTATATGTGGTCTCTACAAAAACATTTGTTTTTGCATGAGAGCAGGCCAGTAGATCTAGAGGGAAAAGTAAAGTTAAAATTGGTTCTCTTTCATAACTGATTTGTCTGACAGCCAGTCAGAAACTTATTCCCAACCACATATCCATCCCCTTGAAGAAATTTTTCTAACTTCTCTTCAGATTTACAGGAGTATAGCATTTGAGCTTAGTAATAGAATGCACAGAAAAGTAGTTACTGTAGAATTGAAGAGAATAGAACAGAGAGGCATTCTGCAGGGGGTTGCAATTGTTCCCTTATTGTGTATTTCAGGAATTACATGAATGACAGTCTACGAACAGATGTCTTTGTAAGATTCCAGCCAGAAAGTATTGCTTGTGCCTGTATCTACCTTGCAGCTAGAACATTGGAGGTGAAACATCTATTTATATTTTGTCGTTTAAATTTACATTAAGGTTTTCATGTAGAAATAGAAAACTGAATATATGATTTCTCAATTGTAGATCCCACTTCCTAATCGTCCTCACTGGTTTCTGCTGTTTGGAGCAACAGAGGAGGAAATTCAAGGGATTTGTATAAAAATCCTGCAGCTATATACTCGGAAAAAGGTTCGCTATTGTTTTATATGATGTGTATTCTCAGAACATAGGGCAAAACATTCTGCTTCCATTGAAGCCTGTTGCAAAACTCCCGCTTCTCTGGGAGCAGAATCCAGACTCTGTGAGTTGTATCCCTTCTTCTAAGCATGGATGGTCAATTGAAACAGTACAGAGAACTGTATTTTTTTTTTTTTTTAATTGTGCATTTGCAGGTTGACTTGTCTTATCTGGAAAGCAAAGTAGAAAAGAAAAAACTAGCCATTGAAGAGGCAAAAGCACTAGCTAAAGGTCTTCTACCCGACAAGACTCCCAATTTGGAGAACACGTCAGGGTTTTCCCCTGTTCCTAAAAATGGTTGGTATCAATGTACCTAGTTTGCACATTTGGACTGCATTGCTTTCTCCCATATTTTGGGAGTATTACAGTGACTTCATAACTCGAGTAAGAATCCTGTCTCAGTCAGGCTATTTTAGATGGCAGGTATTCCTTGTTAAGCTGTCTATGCTAATTTGCAGCATCCTCACTCTAGAAAGGGGTAGTCAAACTCCTCATGAGATTTTTTCCCGTTCTTTTTCTTGGCCTCATGTTAGTATGTGTGCTAGAAGAAAGGCAGCCTTGGGACATGACATGAAACTATTTGTTGTAGTGGGGGAACATTGTCTAGTGGAGAGAGCCAACGTGTTCACTATTCAAAACGCCTCTGCTCCAGTAACTATGCGCTGGGAAGGGTGGTGGAGGAATGGCTGTGTGTGAAGGGAGAGTGCCCTGTTCTCTATTCAACTGAAATGTGTGTATAAGAAATAGTTACTTCCGGCTAGTTAAAATTCCCTTTACAAAAAAAATCTGGCATGTAAATTTCCTTGAAACAAAGAGGAAAGAGTTGGACCTTTTAATGAATCAAATAAACTGGTATTCACAGATTTAGGTTGTAACACCTTTAAAGAAAGTTTTTTCCCCAGAGCACCATGTTTGGAAACTATCTTTTGCCTAACAGAGCCCTCTTGAAGATACAATAGTATCTGCCTTTCCAAGGCATTGAAAATTGTGAGACATATTACATAAAATGCCGGTTCAGGCAGTTCTATTAAAGGCTTTTTCACTGTTTAAAGTCTGTTTTAGAGGTTTTTGGGGTTTTGTTTTTTAATGTACTAGGTTTACAGCCTCAGAAATTTACTTTAGATTTGAATAACTCATTCAAGTTTCACCCTTTATCTGAATGTACAGCAAAGGGTATCTAGAGGGATCTGGTAATTAGTCGATCCTTGCCCTCATTAGTGAGGGCAGGTGATCCATTCAACTACTGCTTGCCACTCCTTATCATTGGGTTGCCCACTAAAGATTGACATCTCTTTGATACGCATGTGGGGGGCAGATGAAGTGTAAACTTCTACATTTTTCTTTTAGAATCTCCAAAAGAAGGCAAAGGAAATAAACCTTCCCCACTTGCTGTGCAGGCGATGAAGAATGCCAAAAGAAAAATGGATGGAACAAAAAGAATGAATTCCAACAGCCCAGTGAATGGGTAAGATTCCACGTGATATAGACTCTACTTTTTTTTTTTTTTTTTTTCCTTCTCCCAGCGCTTAAATCTAAATCTTACTTGGATTCTGTCCTTCATAGCATTCAGAAAGAAAGGGAGAGCAGAAGTGGAAGCAGAAGTCGAGAGCAGAGTTATTCAAGATCACCATCTAGATCAGCATCTCCTAAGCGCAGGTACGTACTGAAATGGGTGGAAGTGCTGAGTCCCATTTGTAACCTGCTATGCTAATGGCAAACTACCATCCCAGAGAATGGTGCTTTGGGAGTCGGTGGGCTCTGAAGCAACACCTACAGCAATTTATATAAAAACTGAAACCCCGTTTGAGCTCTGGAAATGAGACTAGTGTATGGAGGTGCAACACGGTGGCCAGTGTAGGTTCACGTGAAGTTATGATTAGAGGAATAACTGCATATGAATGGCATCTTACTCAGCAAATCTGCTCCTTGTGCCCATGGTCCTTTCTGCTGACTTAAATGACAAAAATAAGTTTATATACTGCTTCTTACTATGCTCACCATAGACCCAACAAAGCTTGGGGGATAGGGAATTGGATTCTCTTCTGACTCTCAGATCAACAGAATGGCAATATGTTCAGCTTCTCCCTCCATTATACCTTGTGCCCCCTGTACCAAACACTGGGGTTTCACAAACAGAACTGAGGTCCAATTTTGGCCTGCAAAGCCTCTTACTGGGGGTGATGCTCAGGCTAGGAAAGACCGCTTGATTTTCATGCCTTAAGCTGTTTTCAGGGCTACAAATTAGAGAGAAAAATCTATGGTAAATTGGCTCAATTTACAAGTATGTAGATATCCATGAGAGGTAATCATGGAACCCCCAAAGTCCATACATCTAAAATTCTTCCAAAACCTTTTGCTGTAATTATGAAGCTGATTTCTTTCTGGATTATTAATAAAATATGTTGTGAAAGATACTGTTCAGCATTTCAAAGCATCTGGGTTTTTTACCCATTCAACAACTGATCTAATGATTACAAATGTTACCTATTATTTTAGTCCTACAGGAAATTACTTATACTGTGTTTTAATGAGTTATGGGGTGTGAGCTGGGGAAGTATTCTGTTTGAAACCAGGCGATGCAGACAAAAGCTAAAATGTAATTGAAATATCTTCTAAAGTTTGCTGGTTCAACTAATCAGATTAGTAGCGCTCTGTATTTAGAGAAGAGGCTTTTGCTTGTAAGATCTATTCTGAGGGCAGCTTTCAACCTGAATTGTAGTTTACAAGTAAGTAAGGGTGGCATTTTAAAGGACAGTGTCAAATCATTTTTTCTAAAACCTTTTTCCTTGTGTTCCAAGTAGCACCTAAGATTGCTATAATCTGTCTTGTCCTAGTGCGTGCTTTTAATGTTGTAAAGTAATCGGGCATTGATTGTTAAGGCACTCACTGTTCTCTTCTCCTTCTACTTCCCTGTCTTAGAAAAAGTGAAAGCTACTCAACATCGAGTGGTTCCAAATCCCACAGCCGCTCCAGGAGTCGCAGTGATTCTCCCCCAAGACAGTTCAACCATAGTGCTAGTTACAAAGGCTCTAAAATGAGGAGTTACAAAAAGTCAAAGGACTACAAATATTCGACACACAAGCCAAGGAAGTCCCGCAGCAGGAGCTCCTCACGTTCCCGGAGCCACTCACGAGAGCGTTCTGATCATTCTGGGAAGTACAAGAAGAAAAGTCACTACTATAGAGAGAGACATGAGCGTTCCCACTCCTATGAGCGTACGGGTCATCGTTATGACAGAGACCACCCTGGCCACAGCAGGCATAGGAGATGAGCGCTACAACGGGTTCTCTTCTGTCCTTTGGGATTCAGAGTGGAGCCCGGTTTCCCCCATTTTTCCCTTGCAGCATAGGGTTAGCCTGGGTCTAAACCACTTAGCATCAGTAATCTTTTCTAACCCTGTGCTTGTTAGCATGAATCCAAATACAAGGACACTGAACAGACATGATGATGTGGGAGACTTGATCTGTTAGATGGCTTAATTGTTCTGCTGCTGGAGCGTCTCTTAGAAACACCGAAGAGCCTCTCTTGTGGTGGCTGCTCCTATGCCTGCTCTTTGGTAATAGGTAAATTTGCATACTGTAGTGCAATGGTGTTAGTCTATTTCGGGACTCGGAGTACTGAGAGCACCAATTTCCTGGCTCAGCGATTAGCGAACCCTGCTGAACTAGCCCTTCCTGATGGAACGAGAAGAAAGCTCAAAACGTTTCATGAAAACCATTAGTGGCTTGGTGCTAACAAAGCTGTCGTTTCATACTGACTCAATTATGTTGTACAAATGTAAGGTGATATTTCTAGAACTGATGCCTATATTAGGTTACACTTGTGTATATATTTTGCAGTGTTTAACAATACAATATGGGAATATGGCCTTATTAGCCCTTCTACTTTCTCCACCGTGTAAATAAGCATTTGTTTAATACAAGTGAAAGCTATATACTGAAAAGTCAAAACTTGAATTCTATCAATTTAAGATTTGTGTAGAGAATTCTGATAAATGTGAAAGTATTTAGCTCTGTGTATTGAAAGTAGTATATTTTTATCCGTGCAATGCTGCGTGCAGGCCACCAGCTCATAGAGAAGTTTCATATATATACATTTTATGTGTTTTGAATAACTCTATACTCAGGATCTTTGACACGCTGAAGAATTGGTAGTTTGTCAATCTGCTTGCTTGTTTAAAAACAGAAGGTGTAAAAAAAAAAACAAGCCCAAGTCCGCAGCTCAGTTGTATCCGTTTTAGTGGTATATCTGAGCTGTTCCCATGCTCCCTAATTTCATTAAAGTATTTGATTTTGTATTTAAACTCCATGATGTTACTGTCTGGTGTAATTCCGAGACTTTCTTCTAAGTTGTACCGCCACGTCTAATCGAAAAGGGAAAAAATAACCTGACTTGAAATAGGGGTAAATGAATAGTTTATGGCCGTTCTATTTTTAAACTGACGTGTGCCATCTCAAATATAAATACTGTTTCAGACTAATTTTGTGGCACATGGTTACAGGGGATATGAGTAATGGTAAAACAGGTCTCTTCCTTTCCCACTGGAGGGAGTTAAAAGCTATGCAACTTAGCAGGTCCATCAGAATGTTCATCAGTGCAGGTGTAATAGAGGGTTAATTGCCTGAAGTGGTGAGTGTTTTCCTATCCAGGGAAAGAAAGTAATGGTGGCTGCTGATTGGTTGACAGTGGTTCCTGTGACTTTCAAGCCACTGAGGGTATGTCTACACAGCCCGCAGCAGCGAGCCTCTGAGCCAGGGGTGACTAAAAATAGCCTTGTAAATGTCATGGCCCGGGCTCTGACGTCTACATCATTCTTTGTAGTGCAGTAGTGAGAGCCTGAATCGGCTGACCCAGGCTTGGGGGCTCACAGCCTGGTGCTGTATAGACATACCCTGATACAGCATAGGTTAGCTTTAGTTGTCTAGATACTACAGTGAGGGTGGGGCATTATAAATGCCCTTGTATGTCTTTGAGTGATCTGCTGGCAGGCTTATCGCAGGAGCGTTTACAAAGATTTTCAGTGTCCCATCACCAGGCATGCACAGCATTAGGGGTGAGCCGGCCATTGGTATGGCATTGAAATTCCTCGTTCCCATATCCCAGAACAGAATTGTGCAAGCAGTGCAGTATCCTTTGCAAATGCCTTGGAAGAAGGGTGCGCCTGGGCCCCACCTCATGAATCATGGTGCAGAGGGGAGAATAGGCAAAATGCTGTGCTTTCTATAGCTGACCAGCAGCAATCTCCCCTTCCTGCTGTTTTTGCCCTGGCCTTTCCCACACCCTCTCATGGCAGCTTCCTCATGTTACCACCGTTTCCCCCACATGCTGCTGTGGAGCAGGGGAAGCAGAGCAACCAAGAGGACCTGGAGCTGCCTCCTGAAGCAGGGCTGTTCCCTGCGGATCACCTAGGAAGTGCTGAGCACCCCAAGCCTGTGACAATCAGGCCTCCCCAAAGTGCCTCAAATTGGGATAAAAATGGGGGCACATAGTCACTTATCACACATGTGGCCCTGAATGTGCCACAATGTATCGTGTCCATTGCTGCTTTCTTATCACTGCACAGAGGATTAAATGTTGCTTACTATGCCATCTGACCTCAGTGAGTTTCTCATATGTATTAAAAAAAAAAAAAATCCTTCAGCTTTTAAAGGAAAACCGCTTGAAACTAATTGTGCTGACAGCTGAGGTAAACTAATGGGAAGAGACTAAACAGTGATGGTGCAGTTAAGTCCTGTGGATAAGTTTATTGGTGTGTTAGACTTTTTTCTCTAGGTTTTTTTTTTCCCCTCTTCCCCCCCCCCCCCCCCTTGGTTCAGAGTTCTGGCAATGCTTCTGCTCACACTTCACTCTGGTCTTTTTTTCTTTTTTTAAACTTGAACATAACCCCCTAAAGAGGTTTTACTCCATCCAGCAAGTCACAACCCCTCCAAACAATAATTCTGGAACAGAAGAAACTTAAGCATTTGTTATGAGGAACTTTAATCTTCTGTAAGGACATGATGTCCAGATGGAGAAAATTACTGGTCTAGCTATACTACTAAAACTCCCATCTGTATGCTTGTCTTCCTGAATAAGAGTGCTTGTTTTCTGATTTTTAATTTGCTTTGAAAGCAGTGTAAAGATCAGAAAAGAGCCTTCCTTTTTGCGGATACAAGTGCCCACATAGGGAATTCTACCACTGGCTATGCTAGTAATCTTCCCTGTGGAGACAAGCCCTCAGCTGAATGCCACTTCAGACCGTTGTGGGGGCTATAGGCACCTCCCACACACATGAAAGACTCGGCTGCTATCCCTCGGCCAGCATCCAATCTAATTTTGCACATGATGCAAGGAGAGGGTGATGCAGAAGTTTGAGGTCAGTGAGGACAAGGGTTACAGTAAGATCCCAGTTACCTAGCTTTGAATGTAGCTTCTGTATGGTTCTATAAAAATGGTTTATATGTAACTCACTTTTTGCTAATGAGGTTCCATTACTTTATATTACCAGTCAAACTTGAGGAACTTTGGTCTCTAGGTATCTTCAGCACATGTTTCTCAAGTACCCCAAGCAGAAGCAGTTGTCTGTAGGCTGAGACGTGGGAAAACTGTCGAGTTTAAGTTAGGATTGTGCAGTGTCAAGGAATATAACATGAGTGTGAGAAGGGGAAAGATACTAGCATAGACTTGTGCTAACTGGTTTTAACCAAGCAGGTCTCTTGTTTCATCTGTTCAAAAGCCAGCAAACTACCTGCCTTCACCTGTATTTTGCACACGTGGAGGGAAACTGAAGTAATTTCATACTTCAATGGCTATTTAGACTGTTTAGTATACACAAAGTCTTAAAGTAACAAGCTACAGGCAGTACATCAAAGTAATCTTGACCTGTCCAAAGTGTTACTCTGTATGGATTTGAAAGAACAGAAGAATGGCTCTACTCAGTCAGACCAATGGTCCATCTAGCCCACTATCCTGTTGGCTAACAGTAGCCAGTGCTAGTTGCTTCAGAGGGACTGAATGGAATAAGGCAACTTACTGAGTTATCCATCCCTTATCATCCACTTCTGGCAGTCAGAGGTTTAAGGAAAGCCAGAGCATGGGGTTGCATCCCTGATCATCTTGGCTAATAGCCACTGATGGACCTGTCCTCCATGAACGTATTCTTTTTTTAACTCATACTTTTGGCCTTCAAAATGTCCCATGGCAATGAGTTGACTGTGCACTGTGTGAAGAAGTACTTCCTTATGTTTGTTTTTAAACCTGCTGCCTATTCATTTAATTGGGTGACCCCTGGTTCCTGTGTAATGTGAGAGGCTAAAGAACACTTCCTTATTCACTTTCTCCACACCATTTGTGATTTTTATAGACCTCTATCACATCACCCCTTAGTCATCTCTTTTCCAAGCGGAAACAGTCCCAGTCTTTTTAAACTCTTCTCATATGAAACCTGCTCTGTACCCCCTAATCATTTTTGTTGCCCTTCTCTGTACTTTTTCCAATTCTAATATCTTTTTTGAGACAAGGTGATCAGAACTGCATGCATTATTCAAGGTTTGGGCATACCATGGATTTATCTAATGGCATATTTTTGGTCTTATTATCTATCCCCTTTCCTAACAGATCCTAACATTGTTCGATTTTTTTTGACTGCTGCTGCCCATTGAGTAGATGTTTTCAGAGAACTATCCAGGATGATTCCAAGATCTCTTTCTTGAGTGGTAACAACTAATTTAGACCCTATCCGTTTGTATGTGTAGTTGAGATTGTTTTCCAATGTGCATTACTTTTATTTATCAACATTGAATTTCATCTGCCATTTTGTTGCCCAGTGTCTCCCAGCTTTGTGAGACTCCTTTGTGGAGTAATCTTGTTCTGCCGGGAGTCTGCATGTAAACTCTGCCCTTACTGCCTAATGTAGCTGTAAAGGGATCAGCCAAGCGCATTTAGCGAAGTAAAATGCATCTCTTGGCTCATGCCAGTCTTAAAAGGAAGTGGCCATTCCCCCACTTTAATCATCAGCTCATCTCTGTTAGTCATTTTAAATATGAGGACTCCTATCCTCAAAGGTGCCTAATTCCCAATTGACATCAGTGGGAGTTAGGTGCCTAAATGCCTTTGGGGAATCTGGGCTGCCCAGAGGCCTCCTGTTCAATCCCTTAGAGAAGCAATCCTCCAAACAGCAGGTTTGTGCACCAGGTTCTGAAAATCAGCAGATGCAAAAAGTGAGGGTTGCATGAAGGGAGCAAGTTCTGCAGTTGAAACTTCCACTGACGCGTTTTGCCATCGATCTCCTGATTAAATCGTGAGCCCGTTAACTGGAATGCTTGGAGTTAAACCTCAGAATGCATTTGGGGAAGAGGGTGAGCAGCACCCAGCCTGTGGAGGGGTTTCTAGATAGACATTACCTCATTTGGCACAAGAAGCAGCAGCTGTGTTTTATAAACTGCTATGCAAATGTACAGCATTGGATAAACAGTAATACTCCACTTTTTGATATGTGTGAAGCCAGAGAGAGAAATATCTTGGAACCTCACACCCTATATAAAAGTGCAAGGGCGTGTGTATAGGGCTCCGAACCAAAGGGATTATATCCTGGGATTAAAAGGGACATCCTGTTCTAGAAGAGAGCAACATGTTCTTACTGAGAAAACCCCTCCAGCATGGATAACTAACCCAGAGTCGTGGCAGCGGCATAGAACTGAGAGAAGCTGCTGCAAGGTGGATGGAGAGTACAAGCTAGACAAAACGGCTGTAGATCAGAATAGCTCCATTGACTTCAGGAGAGCTGTGTCCGTTTCTACCAGCTGAGGATGTGGCCCGGGTCTGTAATGGAAGGAAACAGGCTTTGACTCTGCTGAAGGAGCCACAGACTAGAGCCAATTCATATTTGTCTAATTTATTTGACAAATTTCATATAACTTTTTAGTTGAGTAGTTTTTCTCCAGTATCTGATCTTGGTTTGAAAGTGAGCTATTCAAAGAATACTCCTTCCCCCGCCTCCCATTATTCCCCCAATGGTGCCAGAGCAAGGGACAAAGGGATGCACCTCTAATCAGAGCCATGCCAATGGACCTTACTTCCAAGCCTGGTTGTCTTCAGTTAGGCACAAGAGTCGTGAGTTCTGATCCAATTGCAGGAGTGGTGCAAAGTGGCTTTCACAAGTGCCATAGGGAAGATTTCTGCTGAATGTGCAACCCCAAAGCACCAGTGGATGGGTTTTTTGGGGGTGGGGCTGGCTGGTAATCAGCAGTGGCTGATGGGAAATAAGTTTGGCAATTCAGCATTCAGTCAGTTACCAAAGAGACACGGCCAGCCCTTTGAAAAGGCAGC